AGATTATGCGTTAACTTCACAAATATTTCAACCACGGAAACAGCAGCTATCAAGTGTCACTTTCCTGATCCAGCCCTCCGGGGTTGGAGTGAAATACAAGGGAAGAGTGGTACAGTTGGTCTGTCAAGTGAGAATCACCAATGGTGTCTGTGCCTGTCTGCGAGCACGATGCTTCTGATTTCTCTTTAGGCCTTATGCGTGTGTGGAGGGGTGGGGTAGGGGGGCATCTGTGGATAAACAGATTCTATTGTGCAGATACTGTAGTTATGTGAGTAGAGTTTCATTTATTTATGGACAAAGAGAAAGAGCCATTACTTAGGAAGTGTAAAATTGATGTTTGCTTAACCCTACTGTTTGTGCGAATGTCACAACTTCAGTTGCATACAGATAGCCGTTGTAATAATACTGTCTATAGGATATTTAGTTCTCTTTTCAGACTTTAGAAATATATAATGAATCCTAAAAATGAGCAAGAAAAAATGGAATATAAAAATACCTTGACAAATATTAGGACATTGGGAAAGTCATGATGTTTTTTTCATTCTTTTTCTCTACAAAAAATGTGTCATGGCTTTCCCAATGACCCAATACAGTTAAAATGTGATTTGCATACAATTAGTCCACAAACTGTTAAAGCAATTTTGTAAAAGAGTCTTATGTTTTTCAGCTTAAAGTATTTTCAAATATCTTTCCAGTTTGCTTCCATGCTGTGATATTACCCTAACAAATTGCATTAAAAGTTCAACTTATGGAAATGGCATTTATATGGAAACTATTGCCCAAGTTACTTTTTTTATCTTCTCCAACTCTGAAGTATCCAGTCACTAAGTACTTCCAAACAGTCTTTTGGGCTGGCCCTGCAGCACGGTAGTTAAAGGAGACTGATTGCACATGGCCAATGATGGTTAGACTCCTGGTGAAAACATGGGGGGCACATACAGGAGCAAGCTCCAAATTTTATAAGATGGAGACATGGAAGACAATGGACTGCTGCATGATCACACCCCATTGAGGGGTGCTCTCTTTAACTA